TAAGTGACACTTAAAGCATAGTAAGTGCAACTTAACTTACAAAATTTTCTAGCGAGAAACTGGTAATTGCACAGGCAAAACTCTGAAACTGAAAGCTCTGTTTCTTTGGGCTCTCTGATGCTCCAGAGCTTCGCTGCTAACACTTAAGAATACCTAAAGTCAGGATTCAAGGTTCCAAGAATATTTGGGAGAGTTTTAGAAAGGAATTGGGGTGCAAATGACCAAAAACTCGGACGTATTTATAGGCTAGAAAAGGGAGCACACTGCAAACTAAGCCAGAGTCGCATCACGCCTCATCGACGCAACTCTTCCCATTTTTTCTACAATGTGTCGTCATTCTAGTGGTCCACATCGCTTAGTCTGCTAAAGGATGCGCTCGCCCGACAAGGCCACATGGCACCCTCCAGGCGGTGACACATCATTGCATTCGCAGGTAAAGTTTTCAATCTTCTAATATTCGTAACTTTTGCATACAACTTCTGTTTTCAATGTTATTTATATCCACACGTACGTATTTCCTAGTACTACAACTTTCATTTAGACTCTGTTGGCTAATTTTTATTTCATTTTAAATTCACTATCTATGAAGATTATACGGCAAAAGACCGTATAAAACTCATAACATCTTCATATGATCTTTGTTTTCGACGTTCTTTACATAAAAGGTTTCGTATTTATAAGAACTTTGAATTTCGTTTAGATTGTTTTGGATAACAACCAATCAATTTTCATTTCGATTTTTGTGTAGGACATTGTTATATCATGTCACACCGAAACTTTAAAAAATCATAACTTCCTCATACAAAGTCAGATTTTGGTGTTATTTATATTGAAAACTTTGTATTGACGAATACTGCGACTTTTGTTTATATCATTTATCCTTAATATGCTTTTATTTTTAATTGTTTTTTTTAGATTCTTCGTTATGTTTTTAACCATATTTTTATACAAACATCATGTTGTTATATTATTTTTTTCGTATAACAAAAATATAGTATTATATACATAGAACACGTTGTAAACACATAACATATAAGAAATTTTCTCATTTATTAATTTATTTATAATACAATTTACATTAATTTGATAATGTAGGCGAGGGTCTATCCGCGATTTGTCTAACGAAAAATGTGGACATTAGACTACATCCCGTCAAAAGTACAAATGTTTGTTAAACAAACAAACCTAGTTCATAACATTATACATTGAAAAATAAATTCATAACATCATACATCCAAACATAAATCCAAACAGAGCAAGTACTTCATAACATAACATCAAAGACATATCCTAGTCAATTTCCATTGGGTTTTGCACCACTATTTTCTTCCCTATCCTTACCTTCAACCCTCTTATCTAGTTCCATCTTCATAGTTCATTCATATTTTTTTCCATTTTACCTTTACCTTCTTTCCCTTTGTTTTCTTTCATCCCTAGCTCCATTGGTTTTGATCCACTTTTCCTTCATCGTTTGTAATGTCCCAAAAACCATAGTAAAATTTTTCATTTTTAAAAGACATGTCTATGGAATCCATAAAGTATTCAAAACATTGTTTCAAATCAAGACCATGAAAATCAAAGTATCAATCCCATCTCTCAAACATAAATCAACAGGATAATGTGTATGATCATGCATTCGCCTTTCCTTGATCCTCTAAAGTACCTGGAACATTTAATTCCACAACTGTAAGCAAAATTTTAGTAAGTTCCCACAAACTATTCCACACATACAATGCATGCACACATGAGCCTTTAGTCTGCCTGGACCGCCTTGCAAGGCCTACAGGATACTTGGACCGCTCTACCAAGCCTACAATCTAACTGGACCACCTCGTAAGTCCTACAATATAGTCGGACCACCCCCTTGGGCCTACAGTCTGACCGGACCTCCTAGGTATCTTGGCCTACAACACGAAGCAGGACCGCCTCAGCCCAACCACAATATATCGACATATGCAACAAAGAAACTATTAGATTAGGTGTCTAAGCTCATAACTATAATTGGTATGTACTTGACCCGATAGTAGCATGGTCCTGTTGGGTTGCCTTCACCATAACAACTTGACAGGATGAATTATGAGAAAAGAGGTTGATGAATGATTTATTAATATATTATAAGAATAAAATATTAATTGAGAAATCATATTATTTAATTAGTATTGATCAGAAATTAATTTGGAATTAATTTAGTGATCAAAAGAGACTGATTAAAAGAACGAGATGAAATTAGGGTTTTCAATTGAAAACCCTAGCAACCTTAACTATAAAAGGAACCCCAAGGCTCTTGAAATAGGCAATTGATTCCCTAGAAGAAACCATGGTTGAATTCTTGTAGCCTCCACCTCTCTCTCTTGTTCATCCATTGCTAAGTGATGTTTGCGACTCCATTAGAGGTGTCACACTTGAGGCACTAAGCTCTTGAATGTCAAGATCAAGGAAAGGATTACTTGTTACTACTAGCTAACAAGAAATGTATTCTTATATCTCTTGTTTAATTATTAAATCTGAAAATTGTATGCTAGATTAGGGTTATTGATTTGGAAAATTAATTTTCATGTATAACTTGATAAAAACCTAGATCCAAAGCAAATAGGGTTGCATGTGCACCATATGACTGTTATAATGCTCAAAACCCATCAGTGGTATCAGAGCTTAGGGTGTTTTTCTGTTATATTTGATGTTATTGTGTTTTGCCAAAGCTGGAACAAAATCGATTTTGGCTCTCTGACAGCAGAACTCGATGAATCGTAAGATTGACTCGACGAGTTGGACCAACTAAACGGGTCCATGCCCTGACTCGACGAGTTGGTTCATTTGATGGCAGTTTTTCGGCCTTCAGCCCAAAAATTAGATAATGATCATTACCTTAAATTGTTTTAACTATTTAAATTCGAATTTTATGATTTGGTAATGAATATCCTCATCTAATTAAAAGATAATCACTACTAGAAAAATAGCCTTTTACGACGCGCAAATTACGACACTCATTAATTTATGTTACGCAAACGAGAGTGACATTAAAAAACTGTCATCTCTTCAGAAAATTTAAGGATTTAGGTCACGCATTATTGTGTGCCTTTAAATTAGTGTCAAAAGAAAAAAAAAGTTAAAAATGCGGAGGGCGTTGTACCTTAAATGCGCGCCCTCTATATGTGTCGCTTTATAATTTTAATGAACGCGCGTTCCTTAGTTATAAGCAGGAAAAGAAAAGCCAAAAAATTAGAAAAGCCCGCTACCCTCCCTGCCCTAAGCATTTTCACGCATCTTTCATTCTCCTCACACTGTTGTGCAACTTCTCAATCAAAGATCGAAGGTTACGATTTCATCTCCATCTCTTGACTTCATCATCTCAATCAAGAAAAAGGGCTTCTGATTTCCATTCATCTACTTCATCATTGTTGTAATTTCACCTTCTTCATCTCTCTGTTGTTTTTGAGAATACTCGCCAACAGTTTTCTTGCACTATTCCTTGACCTGCTTCCTTCTAGATACGCTTCTTCAAATAACTCCAACAACAACAAACCCCAACCCTACACCCCTCATCCTCTTCCATGGCGTCGTCAATTACCGGAGATGTCATATACCACCATATCTCCGATGAATTCCAATTTTGCGGCTTTAATTTGTAAATATATCCCGCGTACGATCTTCGAAAAGATTCCGGTGGTAGATCTAACATGGTCAGCGTGTGTGTGCAGGTTGTGGAGTTCAGTAGCTTCTGATCGAGAGATTCAGGTTAGGGCTTTCAAGGCGCCGTGGAAACTGTAATGGTGTTCATTGTGGCAGAGGGATTAGGGTTTCTAGAGTGAGAGACGAAAGGGGAAATTGGTGTAAATGTCTGCAGAAGGAAGCATGTAATGTTGTTCTCTATTAACCGACGACTTAGGGTTTTAACTTTCACCACTGCTGCTGCTTCGCCACCTAAGCGAATCGACACTCATAACGCACCTTCCACTGCAACAAAGCACTAGGATGCTTTATGATTGGCCTCGCATCAAGGTTCCACAGAGCCCAAATCATTCGAACTAGAAACCTTTAGGTACTATCACTACAAGATCTCACCTCATCTCCCCTTGCCGGCAACATCAGGTCCGACGACCTTAGGATTACTTCTTCTATTGCTCTAATTTACAAGCCCTATGTCTTATTAAGGTGTGTTTCGGTTGATTTTTTTCCCTATGTTTTCATTCTTCTACCATAACCCTATCTTGCTAAATCCTTTTGTTTTCGCAGCTAAATTTTTGTAGACCAAGATTTTGTAGACAAGAAGCAGGTGGCAGATAAGCCCTAGACCAAGATTTTGTAGAAAATTTTGGTGTTGAATCAACAATTGTTTGTTAACAGGTTTTCCATTTTTAATCATTCATATGTTCTTCCCACCATTTTTATTAGGTTCTCAATTTACTTAACAAACTTTAGTTCAGTTCTTCTCAGGCACCCATGCCATTACATGTGCCCTGTTTGCTTTCTTGAGGCCTGGTGATAAGGCACTTAATCTACTCATTTAGAAAGCATAAAATTTATTCATTAATTTTTATTAGCTTTTGGCAGTTGGGTCATCACTGACCAGCTGTATAGTTTTACAATGACAAAAACAAGTATAGGTAAAACAAAACACCAGTTCTACAGTTTTACAATGACAAAATCAAATATGCCATTGGAATATTCTGAATCCATACACCTATGTGATCTAATTTCAGCAAAGTTGTATCTAATTAATAGAAAGGGTTTTTCCTATATGTTCCTATACAGATTAAGCATAACAATATGGAAAAAGACTAAAAAATATGTATGAAAGATGTATGTATGTATTTTTTTTTACTGTTTACATCATGACCAATCAGCAGAGGTGGTAGCAATAGCATAACATAACCAAATAAAATATTGATTCATGCCACTCCTTCCTAGATCACCTTTTTTTCTTTTTGTATTTAATAAAATAATATAATATATATTTAACTGATTATTGATATCATCATCTACTATGGTGAAAATGGTTGATGCAGTTTGATCGTCAAACCTTATCCATTGCAATGCGTTTCTTGATGGCCAAAACTCCAGAGCAAAGGGCAGTTGTTGATCTGGACACTCATTACACACAACTTAGGTTTCATTCTTTTATACCATATCATATGATGATGATGCTTATATTATCCATTATCCATTATCCAATCCTACATACAGTTTGAACCTCACCCCATGTATCTATGCAGGAATATCTTGAACAACATATTGGAGTTAAAACAAGAAGACAAGTATTATATCAGGGATATATGGAAGGGATATCAGCTACTGGGATGCAGTCAAATCATGGGTTTGATGGCCAGGTCAATGCCTGCTGCTTTTTTACTGGTGTATCCTTTATGGAAAGAGAATGAAAACAAATGGGATGAAGTTTTCAGTGTTATTTTTGTATATTACTAGCTTTGTTAAAGCAAAAAGGAGTTGGGCTCAAAGGGTTGGCTAAAAGTTCTACTGCAACTGAAGAAGTCCCACCTTTGCTTGAAGAAAATGGGAAAAATTGAGGTGTGGAGGATTAATGGCAATGCTAAAACCACGGTACCCAAAGAAGATATTGGTAAATTCTACAGTGGAGATTGCTACATTGTTCTTTACGCTTACCATTCTAATGAAAAGAAAGAAGATTACTATTTGTGTTGTTGGATTGGCAAAGATAGCATCGAGATAACATTGTTGCTCAATTGGCTACTACAATGTTCAATTCACTCAAGGGAAGACCAATTCAGGGTTGTGTATTTCAAGGGAAAGAGCCTCCACAGTTTGTCGCCATTTTTCAGCCTATGGTTGTGTTAAAGGTAGGTACTTGCGTCACATTTTTAGTTTTTTCAAATATTTTGCTGTGATATTAGATTCAGATGGAAAATGTTGTGTTATTAGGGTGGATTGAGCTCTGGATACAAGAACTCCATTGCAAATAAAGAATTGAATGATGAAACCTACACTTTAGATCGTGTAGCCCTAATTCAGATATCTGGCACTTCACCCCATAATAATAAAGTCGTTCAAGTATATGTCGTATGATTATAAGCCCCTTCTAAGTTATTCCTTAGAATTGTTAAAATTAGGGCTAATGAAATTTGTTTGTTTCAGGTGGCAACCTCATTGAATACGTATGAATGCTTTCTTCTTCAGTCTGGTTCTTCATTGTTCACCTGGCATGGAAACCAGAGTAGTGTTGAACAGCACAGCATAGCTGCAAAAATCGCCGAATTTTTGAAGGTATGGGATGCCCTGATTGGTTTAAAAATAATTTTTTAAATACCAAAAGAAATATTGATTGTATTTTAGAAATTGGTAAAGACTAATGACATCATGATTAATTAAACCTTTCAGGAGAGTTTAATATCTCATAGTAGAAAAATGAGAAATTCAAAGCCAAACCAAGTCTAATTGGATGAGTAGGTGCCAGGTCAGATGCAACAATAGCTGTTGCAACCTTCAAGAAATAGCATCGTACTTTCATTAATTTATTTATTATAGCATTTTATTTTTAAAGTAAAATGAATAAAAAGAAAGAAACTGAATGTAGAATGGTGTAATGGGAAGAAATGAAATAACCCATCGGTCAAAGTCAAGTCAAGTCATAGAAAGTTTGATCAGTCTAGTCTAGTCTACTCCTGCACAGTGTAATAGATGCAGCCTAAAAGTTGAATACCTGACAATGCTCTTTCCAAAGCCAAACACCTCTACCTCTAGTAAGTATTACTACAGATAGGTTGTTGTTTTTATTCTCAGGCTCAGGCTGTTGGACATCATCATCTAGCACTAGCAGCAAATTAAATTCAGAGACAGAAAGCACCAATTCTGGGATTGCAGAAACCAATTAAGGTATTATGTAAACAAGAAACAACACTTCAGAATAGTTATACTATACAGATTTATGGAAAAAGAGATATATCCAAACCAAACCTACTTGTTGAGATTAACTTTGTAGGGAAAGCAGGGTAGTAGACACTGAATCACTTTGTGTTATTTCAAGGAAATTAGTATGGTTTATTTAATTTTATTTTTTCTATTGTTTTTATTTAATATGTTAAGAGTTAATATATTATTAAACAAATCTTTTTCGAATGGATCTTCAGGAGCAATAAAAAATGTCCCGAGCTACATGGACACATGTTTGTTTGTTTAGAGTTATAGTGCTAATTTATGTACCTTTTATCTGAAATAATTACAATTTCTTTCAGACACGCATGGGTGACTATCTTAAAGATGTGGCATCCAGTCATATCCAAAAGATTACAGATACAACAGCTGAATCAGGACTTAAAGTTGCACTCTATCCTCGAGAAACAAGTTAGAATGTCAATTCACTTCATTTTCATTTTCATTTTGTTATTGATTTTCCCTTATTTGGATGAATGGGATCAAAATGAAAAGGATCACTCCATCTCCTTAGGTGGGGCTGTTAAGGATATGGAGTCTAGCTCTCTCCATCTTCTAGTTTTATGTGGTGCAAAGGTATGATCTAGTTTTATGTGGTGCAAAGATATGTGGAAGGATATCAGCAACTGGGATGCAACCAATGCACAACTGCTTATCCATATAATCAGCTGTTTGGAGCATTAGTCTTAAAGAATTATAAAAGGCAAGATGCAACATTACTTAGTTGGAATTTGATGTACATAGTACATTAGATGGAAATTTATATATTATAAGAAATAGAATTGTATGACATTAAATTTATGCAATGGATTCTATTTTTTGTATATGATATTTTATTTTCTATTCAGAAACATTAAATACAAATTTAATTTGAAAATAAGTAAATCTATAAATAATATTTTTTTTAAACATTTAAAATTATGATACGCAAAAATGTGTGTCATCTTCATTTATGACATGGCCTTTCTTGACAGGGTCTTTCTTGATACGCGTTGCGTGTCACTAACACGCGCGTCGTAAGGTTACGACACGCGAATGCATGTCGTCTTCCTTTATGACAGGGCCTTCCTTCATACGCATTGCGTGTCGTAAACACGCGTCGTAATTGCGCATCGTAAATGAGCGTCGTCTATAGACGACGCGCAAAAGCGTGTCGTCTCTCTTTATGATAGGGCCTTCCTTGACGCGCATTTGAGCGTCGTCTGAGCCTTTTACGACGCGTAATGAGCGTCGTAAAAGGCTGTTTTTCTAATAGTGAATGGTCAAAATTTAAGATAATGTGCAAAATTATGTGATTAGTTTTATTATTTGAAATTTAATCTAGAAGTTTTGAAAAGTTTCAAAATTTTCCCTCAAGTTTTGGAATTTAAAATTTGATTGAAAAGTTTTTATTTTGAAATATTAAATTCTAAAACTCTAGTGTTTTAAAAGTTTAAAATACAACCCTTATACTATTATAATATTAAAAGATTAATATGTATATATGTATAAAGATGAGTCAGTCTTACCGTTTGTAGGCCTCATTCACGAAGTTGATCTATAGGGGGGTATAAGGAAACAACCTATAAAATGGCGGTTGAATGGGTATCCACTCTCACCCACCACTTCCTTGATTAGTGGAGGGTCGTTAGCCGAACGGGTTGGATAGGACATTAATTCCTCATTAATAAGTATAATGAACGTTATTGTAACATCCCGTTTATTAATAAATAAATAGATAAAGATTAATAAATGAATAGTAGTCGTAAAATCCATAATATTTATCGGAGTGTTGGTTTCGGGGAGTCAAATGACATGATTTGGAGTTTCAGGGGTTAAAGTATAATTTTAGGACTTATTTTGTAAAGATTGTCAGTAGTCAAGGGGCGTTTGATATCATTTGGACTTATATTGAATAGACTCTTGGGGGCAGGGGCCGAAAGGTAAATTCTGGACCTAAGTTGAGAAGATTTTGTAGAGGAGGGGCCATTTGGTAGCTTTTGGATTAATTTGAAAGAAAAGGGAGAAGTTAAATTATTATTTCCTACTTGTTTACACACATTGCACAATATTTTTTTACCTACCTTAGACACAACGTGTCTTGCAGTCCTTTCAAATGCATCATTTCTTTTGTTGATTGTTGGTTTGGCTGACATTATTCTCTTTAATTGTGGAAAAAGTGGTATGTAGTCCATAGTTGGCTACATATTGCTACCATCCATCCCATGCAATGGATACTTATACGTGCTCCTGTAAAAGGTTTCGTAGTACATTGGATCCACATACGAAGCAACATTTCTATTCAAATATGAGATCGTTGCTACTGAATGTACACATCCATTGTCATTAAGTTACAGGTGCTACAAGTATAATTTTTCTTATTTAGATCCATAACACATGACTTTTCTAGGTTTTTTTTTCAAAATGGTTTAGACCACCTGGTAAAACATGCCATTACTTATTTAACAATGTACAAAAACTAGTATACACATTTACAATAAGGACATTGAAGTATAAAATCTACCTTTGTGCTTTTTGTAACTCATTGAGTAGGAGTATAATTGTTGGAAAAGGTTTATAGCCAGGCCATGAACTACCTTTGATAATCAAATTCAATAGTCTCTCCATAATATACAATCTAATTTCCTCCAACATTATGATGGTTGGATTTTTCCTTGCATTCCTGATCACACTATTAAAGGTCTCAGTTTATCCATTTCCAACAACATCACACATCCATCCCTTAACAAGGAATGTTCTACTCCATGATTTGGGGTTCTTATCTAAAAGGTATGCAAATGTTGCAAGATTAAGCAGTTGGATTTCCTTCATGGTTGTATTAAATATAGTTTCAATGGAGGCCTTTCTTGCCATCTAAAACAATTTCTTATAGTGTACACCAGTGAATAAAAATGAAACATATAGCTAGTATAAATGAAATTGGATAGTATATGACATACCATATATGACAACAATGTATACCAAAACCATTTGCCAATCCTAGGTCATCTTTAAGCTTTTCCAAAAACCATTTCTAATTTTCTTTATTTTCCACACACACACACACACAATGCCCTTGCAATTAGGAAAATATGATTATTATTATTCCTTCCTACAACACATATTAACTCTCCCCTACATAAACCCTTTAAGAAAAAACATCCGGATTTATTACTCTTCTACAACTCCCTCTCCAACCTTGTTTTATGTCCTCAAAAAGTATGTAAAACTTGCTAAAATAAGTCTTACCATCTAGCATATAATTGACATCCATTTTGATTGTTGACCTTGGATTTTATATTCTTATGTCCTTACCATAAGACCAAAGCTTTGCATAATGTTCCACAAGTATTCCTCCACACAGACAAATTGCATGTTTCTTTGCCCTCTTACACCGTCATATACTCACTTTTATACCAAATTTCTTTTTAACCTCAACCTAAGTAGCCTAACACTTAGTTTTTGTTTGTATAAGAATTGTGTAGTGTAATGGCTATCAATCCAAGCATGACTAACAACTAATCATGATTTGAAATTTATTGCACATTTATGCCCATCTATGTAACGCCTGTGTTTCTGGGCTAGGCATTAATGTTGATGTAATAGTCTAGGTTAACCTTTGTAACTCAATTTGAAATAATAAGAATGTATTATTTGAATGTTATGTGTTTTATGCTTAATTGCTTAATTGTGTGGCTTCAATGAATTAAGAATAAAAATATGAGTTAAAATGAAATGTTAGATAAGCCTGATATCGATACATGAAGACGTAGTGGTCGTGACGAGATTTCCGAATATATAAATGCTAAAATCCGAGTTATAACGAAGAAGTTATGACCTGTCGAAGTCTCGCGACAGAACCAGTACGGCACAACGCGACGTAAATATTGAATTTACGATAGAGCGATATCTAGCCTTAGAGATCTAAACGAAAGTCGTATAATATGTTAAACCGAGAGCGTGCATGAAAAGAACGTCTAAATCTGACTTATTATGGGGAAGTTACGATTTTCCAAAGTTTCGACTTAGCAGTATGCAGTCCGAAACTCGAATTTGATATCGAGTGATTTCTAGCCAAACTTTCTAAATAAGAATCAAAGATCTCGTCGATAGTAGTGCAACGGTAAAAAGGCAGACAAAACGGACGTCGGATGAAGAAGTTATGAGTTTATAACGGAGTTTTCCTATCCCGGCTTACTAAAAATAATATAATAAAAATAAATCAAAACTAGTCGACGAAGTCTAAAAGAAAGTTGTAGATCTTGTTTTTACCTACGCGTGGAAAAAAACAACGTCGAAAACGGAGTTCGTATGCCAAAGTTATGAATTTATGAAGTTCGGGGCGCGAACCCCAAAGCTATGTCAGAGTTCACGACGTGAATACATTGTTCACGACGTGAACTCAGTATTTATGACTTCTAGAGCCTAACAGACCCAACTTGCGATGACGCATGCAATGCCGATCAAATTCACGACGTGAAATAAGGGTTTACGATGTGAATTTCAAGAAATCGGCCCTATAAATAGAATTGAAGGGGCAGTCGGCCAAGGTTGCTAATTCACTCTTCTCTCACCCATGTTACCTCGATTTACGTGCAAATAAGTACCCTCAAATCCTCGGTATCATCCCGAGACCCGAAGCAAGTCCCGAAGCCCAAAGATCCCGATAAGAAAAGAGTTTCCGAGCCGATCCTCTGCTTGCGAGAAGCCCGGTGTGTGAAGATCTGCCAGTTTCACCGAAGAACACTACTTCTACAAGCCGTAGTGCTACCCGATCATCTTGTGATTAAGTGAGTGCATAGTCCCTTTCAAATACATGATTTTATACAAGTAATCGATTGAATGTATTGAGTATATGATTTATGTGGGTGTATTATTGTTACCTTCTAACACATAGATCTACATGATTCTCTATGAAATACGTGTTATGTGTATATGTATCATCTGTTATTTGGATTGAGTATTGAAAGAACATGCTATACACGTATTAAGTTATGTATAAAAATATGTAACGCCCGTAGATCAGGGCTAATCAATTAAGAGACGATAAGCGTCAAAAAAAGACTTTTTGATAGAAGATTATTTAGAATGAATAACCTTAACTAAGTTGTAGTATATGTCACAAGGTTTCCGTGCATATAAAGAACGCCAAAATCCGAGTTATAACGAAGAAGTTATGACCTGTCGAAGTTTCATGACAGAACCGACACGACGCTGAATGACGTAAAAAGTAAACTTACGTTAGATTGATATTTAGCCTTAGCGATCTAAAAAAAAGTTGTAGAGTTCGTTAAACCATGAGCGTGCATAGAAAGAACGTCTGAATCTGACTTCGTATGAGGAAGTTATGATTTTTCTAAGTTTCGACTTAGCGGTATGCAGCCCGAATACTCGATTTGAGATCGAGCCGTTTTTAGCCGAAACAATTTAAACGAGAACCGAAGATGTTGTTAATAGTAGTTCAATGGTAAAAAGACAGACGAAAACGGACGTCGGATGAAGAAATTATGAATTTATAACGGAGTTTTCCTGTCCCGATCTACTAAAAATAAATAATAAAAAAATAAAGTCGAAATTAGACAACGGAGTCTAAATGAAAGTTGTAGAGCATAATCTCACCTACGCGTGGATATAAAGATCATCGAAAACGGAACTCGTATGCAAAATTTATGAATTTTTGAATATCGTGGCACACATACCAAAGCTTATTCGAAGCGTACGCCCAACGTAACAAAGATTACGCCCAGGGTACTGAGTACGCCCAGCATACTTGGAAATTACGCCCAGCGTAATCCCAGACCCAGCAGCCTATAAATAGAAACTGAGATCAGCCATTTTCTTTGCTCATTTTCTTTCTTCTCTCTAGTTCTTGCCTCGATTTGCGTGCCAATTATATCCCTAAGCCCCGGTATCATTCTCGAACCTCGAAGCAAGTTCCGAAGCCCCGAGGATCCCGAGAAATGAGATTCCCGAGCCGAAGCTCTGCCCGCGAGAAGCCCGTTTTTTGTGAAGATCTTCCGGATCTACCGAACAATACTACTTCTACAAGTTGTAGTGTTGTCCGATCATCTTCTGATCAAGTGAGTGTATAGTTACTTTCTTCTACCGCATTGACATGAAGTATTTGCTATGAAATACGTGTTATGTGTTTATACGTTGTTTGTTTACTTGAGATAGATGTTGAACAAATGTTTTATACAGGTTTTTAAATAATTTAAATTATATATATGTAATTTATATCTACAAATATGTTGGGTAGAACATGGGTAGATGAAATAGTTGGTGTGTGATGAAAGATGAGTTTGGGGATGATACGAAAGATGATATAGATCGTGAGATGAGGGTGACAGGTAAAAAAAATGAGTGAACCCTTTACCCAAACGATGACCCCCGTCATTCAGCAGAGTAGGGATGACAACCACGGACTATTCTAGACAGTCCAGTGGAACACTAGCAAGCTCGCAACTTGTAGGTGTCGTGGACTTGATGTTCACCGGTGTACTCTAAAAACCCTAGAAACTATAGATTTAGTGCCTCATAATAAAATGATGGTAGCTATGGATTTAGTACATTGTAGATGAACCATGGTAGCTATGGATTTAGTACTGTGTAAATGAACGATGGTAACTATGGATTTAGTATTATGTAAATGAACCTTGGTAGCTATGGATTCAGTACTATGTAGATTAACCTCAGGCAGCAATGGACTTTGTGCCAATTCCTTAGGTCAATCCTTAGGAACGAATGAAGGAAGGATAGTTGATTCTTAGGGTAAAACCTTAAGAAATAAAGAAGATAATGGGGATGGGTAATTGGGTTGATTATTTGATGATTGAATATAATAATTATATTATTGTGGGTTGAAAACCCTATATGCTCACCAGGCTCCCAAGCCTGACCCACTCAGTTTTCTTTGTAGCACAGGTATCAATACGAAGACATATTTCACTGAGAGATTAAAGGAGATGTAAATCATTAGTGTAAATAAATGTAAGTTCTATTTATGCTTATGTGTCTGTATCGGAACATGACATCCCGAGATTTTGTTATATAATGAAAATACTTTTCTTTAATAAATGCTTTGATAAAATTCTTATCATATTTTGTTTTGGGGACAAATTCCGCAACAATTTTCTTTAAACGATTACTCTGATTTTAAAAACAAAGCATAAACAAATCGATCTTTTCTGGCCGTGAAAATGGAGATGTCACAACATGTATATTTTATCTACTAATATGTTGGGTAGAACATGGGTAGATAGTTGGTGTGTGATGAAATAAATTGATGAGAGGCCTCGTTGTTGTTGTTAATCTAGTCATCTAGCAGAGTATGGATGACGACCACAGACTCTTGTAGACAGTCTCGTGGAACGCTGACAGGTTCATAACCTGTAGGTGTTGTGGGCTTGATGTTCACCGGTGTACTCTATCCCCCTCATGGTTGCCTTTAGGACATTTATTGTTGAGGAAACCCCTTTGCAGTAATGTCCATCCCGATGAAAATCGTAGATTAGGTCCCTTGAGATAGATGTTGTTTTAGGGACGTAAAGTGAGGATAACGGGAATGAGTAATCGGGTTATTGTTGATTGTTGATTTAAATATAATTATTTATTGTGGATTGAAAACCCTATATGCTCATCAGACTCTCAAGTCTGACCCACTCAGTTTATTTGTATTACAGGTAGTGGCGCGGGGACATAAGATTGATGAATCATCAAGTTATTTTGTTTATAAGCCTGTACATGTATATAACTGTTGTATGGCTTGTAATATGTCGTTTATGCTTTTTGGTCTGTATCGGAACATGACATCCCAAGTTTTAATTATATAATGAAATTACATTTCTTTATGAAATGCTTTGGTGAATATTATTTTATCATATTTTGTTTTTGGGAACAAATTCCGAAACACTTTTAAATCAAAAGGATTTACTCTGAAATTATTTTAGAAGTATAAATGAAACCGGTCTTTTCTGGCCGAGATTTTGGGGATGTCACAATCTATGAGGGACTTTAATCTGAAAAGAGTGTTCTTTACTCATCCATGAAGCCCACGATCTAAACTTGCACTGACCAGAACAACATTTAACAAAAAGTCTCCTACTATCATTTTTTTGTAACATAACTGGTAACCATTAGCAACATCATAATTACACATCATATGTTTTAACTATTTAGGACTTTTAAATCTCATACCTAGCACACGCTTTTTCTTTTTCTAGTGAGCATCTTCATTATAAGTTGTTTGGTCATCAAGTATTGCCTCATTGTCATCCATCTGAACATATGGATCTTCATGAGGCAAACTATCATTAAGTTAATCCTAAAGATTCACATCAACATGATCAATGTAAACATGAAGGATACAACTACAAGCATACCCTATTTCAATGAAATTCATAGTCTATATTAGTAGCTATTATAACATGGTACCTAGTAAAAACTCATTGGAAGTGAAGATCGTGTTTCATGTAAACGGCCATAGCAAGAATCTAGTTGATCAATTTTGAAGAGAAACAAGAAAATGCAGAACATGAAAGGGACATGGATATATTTTCTTGTTCTTATTCAACTTCTAAAAAAACATCACATTAAGTCCATTATTGTAACATTACATGGCAATTGAGGTGATATGTTATTAATTGATATGATATATTAAACATGTTGATTAGGAAGGGGTTCATGGTGACCCTTTCAATTTTCTCAAAGTGACCTTTTAAACCCTAAAAACATGATTTCCTATCCTTATAAAAAAAAATACACCTATTTGATAAGTCCTAGCCAAATCTAACACCAGTAAATATTTTGAGTTTTGGTAAATATATTTAATAAATATATATTTTTTTTAAAAACACTTAGTTGATAAAAAAAAAAAATCAAGAATTTCAACTATATGCTACAAAAAACCTGACTATGTATATTATATATTGTTGTTTTGTTTAATTTAAATGAATTTATATAAATGTATCTCTCCTCGATCCGATCCGAATAACGACATGTGAAAAGAACATATAAACAGCAGGCAGCAGCTTTTTCAATCCACCCTGCCCCACTCTCACCTCACCTCACCCACCTCACCCTACGACTAACGTATCTACTAACATGGAAGTACAAATTCAGATTCATTTATTCCGCCATTAATGTACGCAGAAAATCGACACACACCAGAGGAACGAGAAGGAAACTGTAAGACTTGGTCTCCTTTAAGAACACAGCTATTCTTCTTCTTCCACAATTCTTGGTATGTAATGTATCTCTACATTTCAATCTCTCATCGTGTTGTAGTGTTTACATTTATTAGCTTTACCCTTTTCTGCAACCCCACTCAATCAAATAATGACATGTGTTGAGAGGTCAATTGCAATTTTTAAAGTGGTATGGATCTCCACTTTTTGCTACCTTTTTAAGCTACCCCATTTACTTGATCATTAATCAAAAAGTTTTCACTCGACCCAGTTTCTCTTGCATGTTTGCATTTTGATTTTTGTCCCTGGAAATCTGAAATTAAAGTAAATATTGGTTTAGATCATATACGTAATACGATCATGCTCTTGAATGCGATTGTCGATTGATGATTGAGTTTTTGTCAATTTTTCTGCCCCCATTTAAGTGGTATTTACTTCAATCAGCTTTACCCTTTTCTGAATCTTCACTCAATCAAATCACAACATCTGCGAGTTTCAATGTCCCTTTTGCTCTCTTTATAATCTTCCATTTTCTTTTTCTTTCCTAGACTTATTGCACTCAGTTCTTTAGATTTTTTACCTTTTTAAAGGTACCCCATTTGCTCAATCGTTATACAAAACTTGCATGTTTGAATTTCAGTTTTTTGCCATCGTCGTCATATAGGTAACAACCGATATTTGAAACCAATTCAAGTGTAATGATCTCATGAAGATCTAATGTGAATTGCAATATTGAATCCCCTGTAGAGTAAGATTTTGAATTTCTTCTTCTATATATCGCAATTGATAACAATTTTTTTTTTTTTTCAGAGAGGAAGAATTCATTTGCAAATGTTCAACTTCACCAAGTCAAGAGCTCGGTCTAACAGACCCAGTTCTTTAGGAGGTAACTTCACAATCACAATCTCAGTCACTAGTTATCTCATTAGATTTAATGTTTTATAATCCATTTATTATATCTTTAATCTTTGCATTATTAGGTATGAATGTTCTTCCTTGACTTTTTCTCCCTAATTGCAAACAGTTGACTTGATAATATCAAGTTGATATTAATAAAAGTTTAAGTGCATAAAGTCCAGACAGGCAGGCCAGCCGGCCTGATGAATATTCTTTTGTCTTGATTACTTTATAAGTTTATACCACGAAACTTTAAAAGGTTGAAGTTATTTCCTTTTTGTTGTTTTTTTAGGCATGGATTTTGTGGATCCAGTGAAGAAAAGTGGTCTTGTAAGAAAGATTATATTTGCTACAAGTCTTGTAGCTTTATGCATCACAATAATCAAGTTTTCCCCATCTCTCAGCAGCCCTAGCCCAGTAAGTAAAAAAAAAAAAAAAAAACTTTTTGTTCAGTTATCTTTTTGTTTTTGATCCACACGTTTATTGCTTCTACTTTGTGTTAATGTAATAAGTTCAATCCATTTAGTAGTATCCTAATAAACAAAATGAAAGCAAGATGCTATAAATATAATAAACAAAAAAAAATGAAAGTACATTGCTATTACATAAGTCCACCATAGTTTGATTATCTAACTTTTTTTGTTATGTTTCTTGTGTTGAAGTTCTCTAGTCATGAAGCAGGGATTACTCACGTGTTAGTAACAGGAGGTGCTGGTTATATTGGTTCACATGCTGCACTACGCCTTCTAAAAGATTCTCATCGTGTCACTATAGTGGTACTTTTGTAATTTTTGGCTAATTCTTTGTTTAACTACAAAAATCTTTAATGGGGAAATGACTTAATCTGGTCAGCTATGTATGAGTGTTTCTTTTTGGCTATTACAAAAAGAACGACATAACAGAGAAAGTCAGGGTCCCGATTAAGTCCTAACTTTTTACAAAACGTTCCTTTATTTAATTCTTACAAATTTTCCCTTATGGGTGTTTCTGTTTCTAGGACAATCTTTCGCGTGGAAACCTAGGAGCAATCAAAGTTCTACAAAACCTGTTTCCGGAACCTGGAAGACTTCAATTCATTTATGCTGACTTGGGGGATCCAAAAGCTGTATCCTTTGAAACATAGGATAAAAAAAAAAAAAAAAAAAAAAACATCTTTTTTTACAAACAACCATACATGAATACTATAATATCTTGTTTCCTTGATAAAACATTTTAGGTAAACAAAATCTTCTCAGAAAATGCATTTGATGCAGTTATGCACTTTGCAGCGGTTGCATATGTTGGGGAGAGTACCCTTGATCCCCTAAAGTAAGTATATTAGGATAACGAGCCTTTCCCTATTGAGTTCTAACTTTTTACGAATTTGCCCTTGTTTATTTTTTTTTAAATCTAAATTTTTATCAGGTATTATCACAACATTACATCAAATACCCTTTTGGTATTGGAGGCTATGGCAGCACATAATGTGAATACTTTGATATACTCTAGTACATGTGCAACATACGGGGAACCTGATAAGATGCCCATTACAGAAGAAACCCCTCAGGTACTAAATGACCATTTTACCCTTACAAAATTGAGGCATATGGTATCTTTGTTAACATCTTGCTTTTCTGTTGCATATTTCAGCACCCGATTAACCCTTATGGAACAGCCAAGAAAATGGCGGAAGATATCATCCTTGATTTCCATAAAAACTCTGACATGGCAGTCATGATTCTAAGGTTAGTTTCTCAAATAATTTTATAAAAATATCATTTATCCATATAGAAACCCTAGAATTTTGTCAAATCACGCATTTTCTTATTTTTTGTTCAATAATTTCTAGATACTTCAATGTGATTGGATCTGATCCAGAGGGAAGATTAGGAGAAGCGCCAAAACCAGAGTTACGTGAACATGGAAGAATATCGGCCGCATGCTTTGATGCAGCACGTGGAATTACCGATGGCCTCAAGGTTCGAGGAACCGATTACAAAACAGCAGATGGGACATGTATACGCGACTACATTGATGTGACCGATTTAGTTGATGCTCATGTAAAAGCACTTGCGAAAGCACAACCAGGGGAAGTTGGAATCTACAATGTTGGAACAGGTCATGGTAGATCTGTTAAGGAGTTTGTTGAAGCTTGTAAAAGGGCAACTGGTGTATCGGTCAAAGTTGACTATTTGCCACGTCGTCCTGGTGACTATGCGGAAGTGTTTAGTGACCCTTCAAAGATACTCCGGGAGCTTAATTGGACTGCAAAGTATACGGATCTTGAAAAAAGTTTACGGGTCGCGTGGAGATGGCAGAAGTTGCATCATAATGGATATGGGAATCATTAAAGATGTCGCCAAAGGTTTAATTTCTTTATTTCTTATAGAAAAAAGATGAGTTAATACACATTTGGTTTGTTGATTTTTATATTGGGGAAAGGGGTGGTTTATATTTTGTTTTGGTAATTGTTGTTTTGTTGAATAGGGTTGAAGGTTTAGGAGAGCAACCCATTAGTCATATGGATTTATTTGAGAGTGGTTAGGGGAGATATGTCAATATTCAATAACACATGTTGCTTGTAATTTCATTGTTATTTTGCTATATAAGAAAATTCAGCTTTATGGATGTTATGGACCCCTAAACTTTGAAAAATGATGTCAGAGAAGTCATTATCCGAAACTAGAAGTCGTCACCTGGTGACTATGATTATATGGCCATCAATTTAGCTTTTATTACACAAAAATCCTCATCGTCCAAGGAAATCTACAGTTTTTGGTCTCCGATATATTAAAATGACTTGAATTATGCAACTTTTATAGAAGCTGCATTAAATAATGGTGGTCAAATATCCATGTATATTGATCATTGGCTTTAGACGAATGGTTGAAGAAAATAAGAACGAAATGATGAATCCAGATAAACACGAATTAGGTGTTCAAAGTGAAGGACATAATGATGATTTATCATATAATTGGGATGTTAATCGTAAACTAAAAGATGAAATTAATAGTATGAACAAGACAAGTCATGATGAATTCTTGAGTAAGTTGTCTTAATGAACAAACCAATAAAGTTAAAGATGAAAAAGAAGCATGATTATGATAGACAATTACATAGGTTGATGTGCAGGTTGCATTGGAGCATGAAGTACAAGATGATGAAATGGTATTACATGTTGCACGCTTTTATCCCCAAACTTTATACAATACCAACTATAACCGGTATATAAATTTAAATATCACTGTACCAAATATATTCGAAAGTTTACCAGGTACAAAACGGTAATGGTATATACCAAAAACACAAACTAATGTAAAGTTGAAGATAAAGTATGCAACTATAGAAACGTGAGAAAAAGGATTTTGGGAGTTACAAAAATATTTTCATATTTGCAGTATTTCCTAATTTATGACCTTCATTATAAAAAATTTATGCATATATTAATCAACTATACCCACATGTCTTTAATGTTTGGATGCTATAATAAACAACCCAATACAAGAGTACCTTTTTACTTCTTTAATTTGATCCTTCAGTTAAATCCAATACATTTTCCGAAAAACGGGATATCAACAAATGGAAATACCAAGTCGGAGCTGCGAAAGTTATGAGTTTTCATACGGGGTATTAACATATTCAAAATTAAAACAAAACACAAAAATTATGATGAAGTAAAAGAGAATTTTCAAGAACTCCGAAAATTTTAGACCCAAACTCATGGAAAACAGATTATGAACTAGAAATCAAAATCCAAACAATTCAAGAACCCAAGAAATAAACTATCGCAAACCATAAAACATACATAGTAGTAGTGCATACCCTTAATGGTGTCATGAAAGTATAATGCAGTTACAAACCATTATTTATCACACAAAAAAAAAACACTCTTTGTCAACATTATAAACCATGTTTAGATTAGGAGTGATCCTGCACCATGTTGTTCACATGATAATTCCCATCCTTGTCCTTGTGCACATTCGCCTTAAATTTCTCTTCCTTATCACTCCTTTTCACCTTCAACACCAGATCATATTTCGCAGTTCCATCAACAGTCTGCCACATTGTTTTAATTTTAAACATGTTAGATCTATTTTCAATGACAAGGGCATTTACGTTTTTTGCACAGACAAGATTGAGATCGAGTTCCCGTTCAGTCAAGTCAAGTCAAAGTCAAATACAGTACAAGTACAACTTGTTCTGTCATGTCATGATCAGAATCTGACAACATAAAAAGAAAAGATCAAATAAATTACCTCTGCTTTTACGTGAACGACTTCTTGAAGTTCGTAAGGAAATAACGAGTTAGACCTTTGTTGCAGTGTCTTGAGGGCATGATTTGCAGCATCCTGGAAATCTCCATGAATAGTCATCGACTCATCATCTGCTTTCAAGATTTTGGTTAATAAATAGATAAAGATAAGAAAAATCTTGAAAATAGGATGCTATAAGAAACATATCGATGGAAGTAAGTTGCTATTTCTTTTTGTACACAGACACAAATATGTTACCTTTTTGGACATCAAGATTAGGTGAAGTGGAGGTGGCATCACCAATATGTGTGAATTCTTGAAGTTCCTTAAAGTTCAACCATGGCTTCACCCAGATTTTGGCTAGATATAATTTCTTCTCACCCACATCAACAACCTCCAAAGTAAGATGATGCAAAGTCCCAGAAACCACTTGCTCTTGCACCTTTACCACCCTTGCCAACTCCAACATTTTATTCTGAAAAAAGAAAGGGTTAAATGCAAGAAATAGCAATGTACTTTTACTGGTTTTTTTATTATAGCATCATACTTTTGTTTCTATAGCAATGTCATTTAAATACAATACAATGTTCATTGCTATAATAGGGTAAGACCAAGATATCTCTTTGAATCCATAAGAAATACAAATTAATCAAAAAGTACTCATTGATTTTGCTTAGATTTTGAAATATTTCACCTTACCTTCCTCAAAGCGCTAGTTTTGCAATTGTATTCTGTTCTGATTCTGAATATCTTACAATCTTCCTCAAAATATAAACCAACTCAAACCCTAATCAAAATTTATTTGCACGATCATGTCATGTAACCTTCCTCAAATCCCTAGTTATTCCTAAATCATCATTTTTGCCTAAATAATTCAATTGTTTACAGCCTTTTCCCTATTTTGCTAAAATTATCTTACAACCTTCTTGCCTCTGTTAAATCTGGTTGAAGGCTGGGGCTTTTCTATAAAATTGGTCTCGGTTTCATGTTTGATTTTAATTTCAAGATGTCGACTATTCAGCAGTAGCCTAGGGTCTTTGCAATGGATGTTTATCGATCCAACTCCAATTTTGCCCTAAAAATGAACACGAACTCAAAAACTGATAAGCAAATATTTCAATGAACGTACAACCTTCCTCAAAACCCTAGTTTATTAGTCGTAAGAAGCGATTTAATAAAATAGAACACAGAGCCATGGTGTAAAACTAATATTAACTATTAACAGATAGAGATCAAACAAAAACACAAACACAAACCTCTTTTTTGTTATGCTCATCGACGGCAAAACGAGCGAGACCATCGATCTCGGCGCTGTTGGAAGCAGGTGAATCCTTTATACCCCCAAGAGTTGCCATTGGATTCGACTCGAGAAAAACTTCTTCGCTGCTACAAAAACTGGATTGTTTGCTTGCTGATGATGGATTCAACAACGATGATGCTATCAGTAATAGCAGAAAATAGTTATAGCGTTGGATTTGCATTTGTTCTCTTTATCTTTTTTGATTTTGTTGGCTCCCTCATGATTCGGGGCAGTGATGGTGACATGTATCTAGGGAGGGTTTGTCGACGACACGTGGTGGCCATGTAAAGCATAGGTGTAAATCTCAAGGGAAACACGTATTCGTAACGCTCCACACGAATAAATTAACGGATCCATTATCCTTTTACATAGGTCCGACTTAATTTAACCGGTCGATAAATATCGGTAGTTCTTCGATGGGTATCTACATCGGATAAAAAGCAAATCAATCTTGTTCATGTTATTCAAAAATTACAATCCGATTATTATCCAATTTTCCGATTAATATAAAATAAGTATACTAATACATATTTATATATCTTTGTATTATTCATAAATTGCATCAAATACTTCTGAAGCTTCTTTCTCGTCCTGCATCTGAAATAATTTAAATTAGTGATTTTTCGATCAAATGATATTTATATATCTTTGTATTTAATCTACTTTAATTTTAGCAAGTTTCTTTGATTTTTTGTGTTAGATCCTGTAGTTATTTAGCATTTTGGAGTCCAAAATGTTATACTTTTAATGTTTATTTTATTTTTAAGAAAACGTTACATATGTTTCTATGTGTGCTATATTTCATAGGGTTAACCTAAAAGTTATTTTGAAGCATAATGTATGTGTCCTGAAAAATTAGATTCTCTATGTGTTCTTTGGGTTTTGGATTTTGGACATGTTTTTATTATTACATACTTACTTATCTTGCTTAAGAAATTGTAATGAGTTCTTAATATAGATTTAGGTGTTTTATAGCATTATATTGGTAAAAACGTGTATTCACACTAGTGGTGTATTATAGCATTTCAACCATGTTCTTACTGTTTAGGACATAATCCTTGTATTTCAAATTTCATAACGGCCCATTTTATTCAACTTAGTGTTTCTTTTATTTTATTGATACAAGACAATAATAGTCGACGCAAAAAGAATCTAAAAAATGTCGTTTATCAAGAATGAATTAAAAGTCATCATATCAATGTTGCATTTTTAAATTATCCTGGTCCTATACCTTGGTGCTCATGATAGTAACTTGAATTGAACGACTTTGGCAACTTAGAATGCTTACTTTAGAACCATAATAAACATTTGGTAACCATCCAAGATGGTTGTAAAATAAGGACCGCATCCACTTATAAATAAGAACAATTAAAGTTTATTCAAGATGGGATATGTATGGCCCATGCTTATGCATGCACCTCAAGTGCTTAGGTTGCACCAATAATGCCTTGGACGGACACTTACTCTCTCGGTGTCTCATGTATTGTATCCCTTAGGTGCATGTTCCATATAACTCCCTATAAAGTGTTGTTTTCATCAAGACATTGATCATATCGTGCATTAAGCTCCATGTTATGCAACCCTGATAATATCAAGTTGAGAATTTTCTTGTGGCGTAAATAGGTCATGTTAATGCATATACACCAATTGAAAAGATTTAATAACATAAACTAACAACTTTTTGACATAAGCTTGAAATTGTAAAAACTTGGTAAACACGTTAGATTTGTATCTAGGAGGAAAAAACTATAGAAAATGAGAATAATACTTAATGAATTGCATAATATTTCAAACAACTAAGACTATATAAGAGTGTATAATGGTCAAACAAAAAAGGAACTACGTAACTAGAAACATTAAAAGGAAGTCATGCATATTTACATAACTAACAAATTAAAACCTCAAACAAGACTTCTCTTTGTTACATGAAATAGTATTGCAAGACAGTAAATACTAGAAACCTAGTCACATAGAAAATCAAGATGCCAAAGTGACAAACTGGAAAGAAACGAGAGCTTGAGTCGTTGTAGAGATCACGTAGTATAAATCACCGATGCTATCGTATCAAATGAGTGTTTGATATACCAAATTCGTCAAATCTAATGGAGAACTTGAAATTAACAATAAATTGACGAACATATTTAAGATTTGTGATTATGTTGGGGGTGATGATCATGTTATAAATGTACAAGGGACGATACATGTTAGGGTAAGGTAATTTAGTGTGCCATGTTTTTGTTATATGAATAGAGAAGCAGTCTCCAACTAATATAGAAACAAAGATGAAATTATTACAATAATTTTGAGAATATTTGGGCCATCCTAAGGATTGGATGTAGCACCAGTGTCCATTTATCATCTTAAACCACGGAGATCATTTAAATAGGTAGTATTGAACATTTAAGTCAAGTTAGTTACCTAATCAAAACATCGTTGTAATACCATTATCGATCCATATCCAAGGTAGAGGGGGTCACTTGAACCGATCACAAAGGATTACAACCTTTGAAGAGGTCCAAAAACCTAGGCTGTTGGGTTTTGTATGCATCAAATACACTCTAAACTAGGCAGCGGAAGAATCGAAACCATGATATACCTAAGTGTACACGCATCCTATGGATCTATGGCTTCATGCTAATTACATCAATCCTGGAAAACATAAAAGTAATGAATAAAACATACCTCTTATGTAGCCCTTGATCTCCATGCTCGAGATCTTGATGCTCCATGAAATTGCTTGGATGAGAGGACCCAAACCAGAATCTCTCTAATGGTATCACACCCAATGACACCAAAGAGTGGAATAAAAATAATTAGGAGAAGAGTCAATTTCCCAAAACCAAAAGGGGTTACAAATCGTCTCCAAGAGGGGGAGAGCTTTCCAGTTGACTGCGGAGGAGGTCCGCGCAACACTTGATATTGTTGCTGGTACGTATCTCCTTATTTATATTGTTTTGAGATTTGTTTATGCTTACATTGTGTTGTATATAGGTACTTTTCTTATGAGTTTTATGCATACTTTGGTGTTATTTGACTCAGGTGTGAGTCGATCTTTTGTATCTCTATCCTTTAGTCGTCACATTAGTGTCAGACGCGAGGTGTTGAGTCGACCACTGAGGGTTTCTATAGTCGATGAGCATGCAGTTTTTGCCACCGATGTATTATAGGGATATGTGTTGGAGATTTTCGATGTTGAGTTCCTTATAGATTTGGTGTTGATAGCGATAGGTGATGTATGTGTCATAGTGGGCATGGACTGGTTGAGCCGGTTTGGAGTTGTGATTGACTGTGAGCGTCAAATGGTGACCATACGAGACCCTAGTGTGGGAGTGCTTACTGTATACGACGAGGGGACCAGATCTGGATCAGATTTCTATTATGCCTCCAGGGCGAAACAAAGTTTACAGCAAGGATGTATGGGCTATCTAACATATGTGATGGATACAAGAGTTGCCATTGAGAGGCTGAGTTCTATTTCCAATGTTCCGTTTGTGTGTGAGTTCCCCGATGTTTTCCCCGAGGAGTTGCCAGGTGAGCCTCCCGAGAGGCAAGTGGAGTTCCGAATTGATTTGATTCTGGGTGCGGCGCCTATTGCCAAGGCACCTTATCGCCTTGCGTGCGCCCGAAATGCAGAAGTTATCCTCGTAGCTCCAGGAGCTACTGGGAAAGGGTTTTATTAGACCCAGTAGCTCGCTGTGGGGAGCACCAATCCTTTTTGTCAAGAAGAAGGATGGTTCACACCGGATGTGTATCGACTACTAAGAGTTGAACAAACTGACGGTCAATAATCGTAATCCACTACCGATGATCGACGATTTATTCGATCAGTTGCAGGGGGTGTCTTGGTTTTCCAATATTTATTTGAGATCTGGGTATCATCAGATGAGAGTTTGTGAGGAGGATCCAGAAAATGACCTTTAGGACTCGTTATAGGCACTACGAGTTTGTGGTGATGCCTTTCGGACTCACCAAAGCACCGACAACGTTCATGGATCTCATGAATCGGGTGTGCCACAAAACACGATACTCCATTCATCCAGGTTCAGATAAGATGTATATGGATCTTAAGAAACTCTATTGGTGGCCGAACATGAAAGTCGTGATTGCTACCTATGTGGGCAAGTGCCTAACTTGTGCCAAAGTCAATGTAGAATGCCAGAAGCCCTCAGATTTATTGCAACAACCAGAGATACCTGAGTGGAAGTGGGAGCGGATTACAAGTCCGCCCACTTCCTACTGATTAAGGAAACAAACAAGATGGAGAATTTGACCAGAACTTACATCAAAGAGATTGTACGACTGCACAGTGTGCCAATCTCTATTATCTCTGATAGAGACAGTAGATTCAGTTCAAGATTTTGGCAGTCGCTACAGAAATCTCTAGGAACTAGGTTGGATATAAGTACAACCTACCATCCACAAACCAACGGGCAGAGTGAGAGAACTATATAAACCCTAGAAGATATGTTGGGAGCCTGTGTGATTCACTTCGGTAAAGCATGAGATACCCATTTTCCACTTGTCAAGTATTCATACAGCAATATCTACCACTCTAGCATCAAGGTTGCCTTGTTCGAAGCCCTTTATGGCCGCAAGTGCAAATCCCCTTCGTGTTGGGTTGAAGTAGGCGACACACAACTAGCTACACGGCAAACTCCTGACAGCACTTTCACTGGCCTGGAAATCATTCAGGGAACCACATAAAATATCGTCCAAATCGGAGAATGACTGAAAGCCGCTAGAGACAGACAAAAGAGTTATGCAGACAAGAGACGAAAACCCTTGCAATTCCATGTGGGTGACCGTGTTCCGTTGAAGGTGTCACCTTGGAAGGGCATGATACGCTTTGGAAAGCATGGAAAACTAAATCCAAGGTACATAGGGTCTTTCGAGATCCTCGCTAGAATCGCCCCAGTAGCTTACAAACTCTGCCTACCACAAGAATTTAACAACGTACACCTTATCTTCCACGTGTCAAATCTAAAGAAGTGTCCATCCGACGAAACTCTTGTGATTCCACTCAACGAGGTCGAGATAAATGAGAGTCTTAGCTTTGTAGAAAAACCAGTAGAAATTATGGATAGGGAGGTCAAACGAACGAAACAAAGTCGTATACCAATAGTGAAGGTTCGCTGGAATGCCAAGCGGGGAGCTGAATTCACTTGGGAGCGAGAATATCAAATGAAACAAAAGTACCCGCATCTTTTCCCTAGTCCATGATGTACTCTCTATATAGAAAGAAATTTCGGGATGAAATTCCCTCTAACGAGGGGATAATGTAACAACCCGTTATTTTCAAGTCGATAAAAGTTAAACGCTATAAATAAAATTCGAGTTTTGTATATTTCGTTAAGTTCATAAGGGTTAGAATATGATTTAAAAATATATAAATGATGTTTTTATATAAGTTTTATAAGGTTTGGAAT